AGTGTCTCCAGCAGGTCGAGGGAGGTGATCCTGCCCCTCTACTCAGCCCTGGTGAGGCCACATCTGGAGTATTGTGTCCAGTTCTGGGCTCCATAGGACAAGAGGGATGTGGAGCTGCTGGAGAGAGTCCAGTGCAGGGCTAGGAGGATGATCAGGAGCCTGGAACATCTGCCCTATGAGGAGAGAAATTTTTCCTCATATCTAACCTGAACCTCGTCTGATGCAACTGGAGGCCTTTTTCTCTTGTCCTATCAGTAGTTACTCTGGAGAAGAGATCCACCCCCATCTCACTACAACCTCCTTTCAGGTAGTTGTACAGAGTGATAAGGTCACCCCTGAGCCTCCTCTTCTGCAGATTAAATAATCCCAGCTCCCTCAGCAACTCCTCCTAAGGTCTGTGTTCCAGTCCCTTCAACAGCTTTGTTGCCCTCCTTTGGACACACTCCAGCACCTCCATGTCCTTCTTGTAGTGAGGGGCCCAAAACTGAACACAGTATTCGAGGTGCAGCCTCACCAGCGCCAAGTACAGGGAGACGATCACTTCCCTGGTCCTGCTGGCTACCCTGTTCCTGATACCAGCTTGGAGGCCGTTGGCCTACTTGCCTACCTGGGCACAGAGCTGGCTCATGTTCAGCGGGCTACTGACCAACACCTTCAGATGCTTTTCTGCAGCTCTCCAGCTGCTCTGCCCCAGGCCTGCAACGCTGCATGGGATTTTTGTGGCTGAAGTATAGGACGCGACACTTGGCCTTGTTGAACCTCATCCAGCTGGGCTCAACCCATCAATCCAGCCTGTCCAGATCCCTCTGTAGAGCCTTCCTACCTTCAAGCAGATCAACTCTTCCTCTGAAGAAGGAATGTATGTCTTTTGCTTTTGCATTTATTTCAGAATATTGATCTAGACTTCAAGAAAGATATTTTTGCTCTTTTGCGAGAAAAAAAAGACAGATTTATTGCATCTTCCAAACTTCAAGTTGTCCTTGAAGTCAAATGCAGTCTTTTTAAAAGTAAAACATTCCCAGTAATTAGTGGTCTCTGCATATTTGTTTTAGCTGTTTCTGTATCTGAACATGTACATATACATGCTTGTCTTGTTTCGCATCTGATTTCCCTCATTTAAACCTCATTCTAAGTTTACTAATGGTATCAATATATGTTGGTTAAGACAAAGGCTCACTAAGATGAGGGTTAAGAACAAATGCAACCAACTCTGATTAATCCTGCATGTAATGACGCCTGTGCAGAATGAAGTATGCAGAACTGAATATAATAATATTATATACATTACCTATTGTAATTGTATGGTTTATGGCTGTCATTCCTGTACATTTAAAAGCTTTGAGTAAGAACAGATTAGTTTATGTCCTGTCCTTGAAAAATTTTCCACAACAACAATTGCCACTAAAATAATGACCAAGCTTCAACATCAAATGCATAACAGCTTGTAGCCTTATTCAATAATATATATAGAATGAGCATTCCCAGGACTTGGATGTGTTTTGCATTTACTACACTTGGAATATGGTGTTGAGTACCTTCGTGCTTAACTATTAGCAACAATTTGTGAGACTTCAGAAATGAAAGTGGCAGACAAGGTGAAATGAGTTAAATAAATACATTGCTGGACATGTGACAACTTAGAGAGAACAGAGATTTAATAAATTATGAATATTTGGTAACTGAAGCATTCAAAGGGTGTAGAATTAATTTCAATATTACAAAGTTTGGATTATTTGAAGCATGCCCCTGAAACTAAGAATGAATGTTTAACTGAAACACTAATAACATTTTCTAACAGGTAAGATCATGCAGAATAGTTTTGTTTGTTTGTTTGTTTTAGTGGAGATAAAAATGAAATGCAAATTGATGAGACTTCATAGTTACAGTTATACAGGAGAATAAAATATGTGGTAGGAGGACCACAGCTTCCAGACAGAAACGTGGAAGGATCTTCAGGAACCATTTTTTTTTCTTGGCTTCTATATGAAGTGCACAGTATTTGTTGTCAAGGAAAAGGCTTCCTACTTCTGTAAGAGCTGAATTGTGCTCTAATCTGTGATACGCTTCTAAAACAGAAATAGGGAGAGTCGTACTGTGCTTAGATGGAAATGAAGAATGGGTTGTGAAATAGAGGCGGAGGATAAAACTAATAGGAGCTCAACAGTGATGGACAAAGTCAGCTGGCAGAGAGGAAAGCAGACAAAATAAGATGTTCCCCCGTGCTGATAGAAATATGAACAAAATGCAATTCAGTGTGAATTTCAGTGAGATGGAGCCAAATCATAACACCAGCTCAAAATCTTCTTGGATGCTATGGAAGTTTGAATTTGGGTTAACCCCAAAGGCAGCTCTGTCAGCTCCTTTAAGCTACAATATACATATATATTTTTTAGGCAGGATCCATTCTTCTATTTCCTTTCAAACCTTGGATCCACCGAAAAGCTCTAAGAAGTCTTAAAGTTTATAGCTTTTGGCTCATGTTGACTATCAAAATGAGAAGTGAGTGCTGATAAATTGTTTAATGAAATGCTATAGAGCTCTAGTTCTGGCAGCTAATGGTATTATACCCCTGCCACTAATCCCCGGTGAATGAAGAGGCATAACCTCTGCTTTTTAAAATTCTTTTTGCTTTATAACATCTGAAGGGCACATTTCAGGCGGAACATCTCTGTTGAATATCATACTCATTACTTCTTTCACCCTTTCATGCTGGATCTTACTGAGTCAAAGAAGCAGTAATCTTCTAGACATTTACTGTTTATGATTAAACAACCCAATTGAGAAACATTTTATTTTTAAATATATTGTTTTATTCCTTCAGAGTAACCGTAGTTTGGGATTTTTTCAAGAGATAGTTCTCCTTAAACAAAGTTCTCTTAGAATCAAATCTATTTCCTGTAAAAACTGAAAACTCTTAGATACGCTGTGGAAGAAACCTTTCATAAAAAAAATGGTAAAACAAAGAAAACTGTTTATAATGAATACTGATACTCTGACTATAAATGAGTTTGGAATCCTGTAAACTATGATATACTGAAAGACTCAGATTAATTATGCCTTACTACAGCTTTGTTTCAGATGCAAAGATTCTAATATTTTGTCTTAAATTCAGAGTGTTGGGGATTTTTTAAAAATTTGAAGTGTTTTTTTGTTGTTGTTTTCAACTTACAATTTCTTACTTGATAGAAATATTGTTTGAGCCTAGTTTTTCCAGAAACAGTCTATGGTCTCGTATCAGCAGTCTTCATACTGCAAACACATTAACTCTAAAGAAATTGCTTTTATTATTTTCCTCTTCTTTTCTTAATGTTTCTGAATTCAGTGAAGCTTTGTGTGTGTACTAGCATCTCCATTGTTAGCACAATTTGTTAATAATATTAGCTAACTTCTAAAATTTTTGGCAGACTGTTTATTGTACTGTATTGAGGAGATGTACTTTATAGATTTGCCCTGGCAGAGGGAGTGGAACGGCTCTTTAACTAAATCATTCTTAAATGTCATGTTAATGTGATTTGCCAAATGGTTTTACAACCACTTTTTCTCCTCCCTTATCCTCTAGCTCTAGGCATACATGGCTCAGGTCATTTTCAATTTTTACATTGAACATAGTAGATATAGTGACATTTTCCCCCCATTGCATGTATTGAAAACTGAATGCAAAGATGATTTATTTTCACTAAGTACTGTGGAATGAAAATATTAATTGAATTTTAGTGAAGATGGCAAATCGTATTTTTGAGCAGAGCAATCAGTATTATAGATAAGTAAAAATTATTAAAATATTAAGAAGAATCAGTAAGATTTATTCTCTAACATCTTTTTTTGTTTTTTTTGTTTGTTTGTTTGTTTGTTTGTTTTTATCCACAGGCTCTTTGGTGTCACTTCTCTTACTCAGACAAACTGTTCAAGCACATGGATGATCATAAGAAATCAAGAATTATACTGGTATCACAATGCAAATCCAATTTTACTGCTGGTGATGTACTACACCCTGGCAACTCTAATCCGTCTTTGGCTACAAGAGCCTATTGTAATGGTAATTTCCTTTTCTTTTCCCAACTATCAAGTGAAAAACACTGCAGAGCAAACTTTTCTCATTATCACAAATGACTTGGAGGTTGTTTGAGGAAAAAGCTTGATAACAGAAGATCAAACATTCAGGAAAGTTAAGAGAAATAGAGCAGTGCAAGCTGGCATCTTTAGTCCTTCTCTGAGTGTCTTCAAGGGTCTGATCTTGCAGCTTTTACATGAATCATTGGGAATATTTTTGTAAGGACTGCAAAGCCAGAACTGTAGCATTTTCATTTAGAAAGCTAATGTCGATGTGAACTAGCATAGGTATTATCAGATGGCAGGCTCATTGCCTGGGACTAAATCACAGTCTGGCACAGGTTGCAATTTTTTCACAGATACAGCACTGTTTTCTGTAAAACTTTGCTTCTGATATTTGAGAGAAAAATCCAATTTTCATCTAAGAGCAAGAACAAAAGGAGACAAAAAGTAAATTTTTGCTTCTTCCTATTTCAGAGGAAAATAGGAACCCTGATGTATCTTAAAAGCTTAGATACCAGAATTATAAAAAAGGATGATCCCAGGCTTTATTTATTTTAATCTTGTGATTCTTTGAGGCTAAACATGGTTTTAGACTTCAGGCTTATCAGTACTGTGCTCTACAGCGTAAATACCCAGGACTGAGTTATGATTTAGAAAGGTTTATAGTAACAAGAAGAAAAGTGTAAGTTATTCTTGTTTTAAGGGTGTTTCTTCATATAATTGAAAATATAACAGTTTAGCATTTAAAATGCAGACAAAATACATCACCTCTGAACTTGGAAGTCTGATGTTTGGGTTTTACATACTTTGAATTTCATTATAAAAGGTGAATGATGCCAGAACTGCCAGCTTAAGTTATTAAAAAATCATGTCTCAACTCTTCAGAAATCTTAAGATTGCCTTAGAAAAAAAGTAAAAACACAGGGCTTTAAAAGATTGTGGTCCAATGCCCTCTGGCATTGGATTATTTTAGGATCTTTTTTCTTATTTTCTCTGCAGCTGCAGCAGCTAGAAACTTGCTTTTTTTCTTTCCTGAAATGAAAACTGAGATTTTCAGATAATAATATAATTTTAGCGCTGGGGCTGTAACAAAAACTTCACATCTCACAAACTTTGTAGTAAAATAATGAGAACTGCTCGCAGAGGAATAACCACATGTGAAATGCAGTTTATGACAGCTGTGTGATCTCAGCATCTCTGGGAATTCATTTCCAGTACCTGGATTCCTTTCATCCAATTTGTCATCATCTTAAATTTTGGTGCCTGCTTTGGTAGTTGCTCTCAACGGAAAGAAGTGGTCCTGTCTGTCTCAGAAGAACGTGAATCCCACCATGGGCTATAGAGGAGCTGTAGGGGACTGGATCACACCTCCTTCTTTTAGTTCAGATTTAGACTCACATTGACTGAGGTGGATCTTCCAATAATGCATTAAAATTAGTCCCTGAGAAATGGAAGAGCTGTTAATTTAAAATACTTTTAAAGCCACAGCTACATGAGAGGCAAGGCGGTCTTTGCATCTCTTGAGAGCTTCAGGTGCCAGGGGAATGATGCTTTCCTTGATGGGAAATAGAGACTTAAAAAGGAAAATATTATAAATAGACTGGTAATTATGCATTAATGTTTCCTTTTGATACAGAGGACGTAGTGTGGCAAGAATATGAGTTTAGAAAAAGACAATGAGATTTCTAAAATGTATAGGCTCTACATTTTCATTATGCACTTCGTTCTCTCCTCTCTGTGTATATATATGCAAATATACATAAAAGTACGTAAATAAATTTGTAAATATAGATAGATAGATAGGTACGTCTTTTTTTCTTTTTGTTAGTGCACAGATCAAGAATTGCTTACTAGCTTTCTCCTGGTAAAATATATTCTTAATTGTTTAAATCCAGAAATAATTGTAGCCAAGGTTTCATTGAAGTATGATTTTTGGCTTGTAAAATTGTGGTGCATTTGGTTCATTACTAAGTATATAACCTGTGTTTGCAATCTCCAGTGTTTCAAAGTTATATTGCATTTGTGATCTCACCATTAACCTACCTATAAATTGAATGATGACAGAAAATGGTATGCAACATGTTATTTAATGTGAAACAGTTGCTCTGTTTTTTGCTGTAATGTACATTAACAACTGTCTCCCCTAGAATTTTTTTTCAGAAGTATCTTTTGAACAAAACCTGTTCTAGGACGCACATTGCTCAGAATTTGAATATATTTGCTACATTAGACTAAAAGAAATAGCTTTCCTTTCCTTTTTCAGTTTAAAAATGTATACAAGCCAAGTGTAACATTGAAGTAGCAGACTTTAAGATCAATTTGTGAGACTGTGTAGACCTAGCATTCTTTCCTTTATATGGGAATTGCATTTTGGAGTCCTCTGCAGACAAGATTCCCGCAGGATTTCACCAAGAGTTGTCTCTGAAACAGGAGCTCTTGAGATTGTCTTTGAATACTGCAGCTGCTGCATGGTGTTAAAAGACAACACTGCGCTGAACAAATCCAGTTCCCACAACCTTCCTTCATCTGGCAGCCTCTCCAACACTCTCATCATCTGTCCATTCTCTCTCAGGCCCTCTCTAGTTTTCCCGTCTCTTGCACTGAAGAGACAGAAGTGCACATGATTGCTGGTACGGTCTAACATGTACCCAGTAGAGGTGAAAAACTATATCCCTCAGTCTGCTGTTTGCACTTTTGCTGATGCAGCTGCAGCTTTGGACGTTTGCTTTACTGCTGCAGGAGTAAACTGCTGGGTGTGTTCAGTGCACTTTGTACTAGGACCCCAAGGCCTTTTCTGCAGTCTGCTCCCAGTCTGTTCCCAGCTTCTACTGCTGGGTGGGGTGGTTTCCACCCAGACATGATATCTTTGTTCTGCAATTCTTGTTGGGCCAAATCTTCCAGCCTATCAAGGTTGCTTTGTTCGGTGGCTCTAACTTCTGACCTTCTACCTCTCCTCCAAGTTCAGTTTCATCCATGAACTTTGTGTGGGTTCATTCAATTCCATCATCCAGATAGTTCTGAAGTTATTAAATAGTATCAGACACATATGGGCCTCCACTAATAATGGCTGACTACCAGTTTAACCCGCCACTAAATACCTCCTTTTGAGATCAACAGTCTAGCCAGTTCTCCACTCATGTTGTGGTCCCTCTAACCAGAAGAGATCTTACCAGTTTGTCAGCAAGGAAGTTGTGGGAAGCTGTATTACAGCATTGACCTCATTATTAGATAACAAGATATGGATAAATGTATTAGGTTAGCCTTTGATGATAGTTACCTATGGTCAAAAGGCTTTGAGCTTTTCTTTTTAATTCTTGAGTTTAATGAAACAGAATTGTCTTTTCACAAATAGGCAACAAATAAGAGTGAATTTTCTTTCAATACACTGTCTTGAAGATTAAATATCTATGTAATTGCTTATGGTACAACTGAACAGTAAAGTAGGATCTGTAAATCTGTGTAATTCTGATATCCTGCAGCTATCAGGAAATAGCATGGTACAAATGGACAAGCATTTATAGAATAGCTCTGTCATTGTTTCTGAAAATGTCATCTCAACAAAAGCTATCCATTATAGCTAAAATACATTAAACACTAAAACATGTTTAAGAAACATTCTTTAGATAGGGAACATCAATTAGGGGAAAACTTAAAATCCTCTTGTAAGAATGTTAGTTAGCGGATTATAACTAGTCTTGCAATTTGCCTTGTTTAGGAGATGCCTGATGAAGAGAAGTCTGGTGGCAGAGAAGAAGACAAAGAAGTAGACTGCAGCCCCATTCCAATGACAGCGGAGAGAAGACGCAGCCTGTGGTACGCGAGCCACTACACAACTGATGAGAGAAAAGTAAGGCTGGGGCAAGAAAGTTCTCTGCATGAAATGTGTTTCAAACCTTCAGTTAGTTTACCAACATTATTTATAAATTAACAGAAACAGGTTAATATAGGCCTTGAATAAAGAGATACACACGTGATTATGTAAGGCTGTGTGTTAGGGCAGGCAACTTATTTGTGTAAAAAATCTAAAAAAAAAAAAAAGAAAAAAAAAGAGAGAAACAGTCCAAGGAAGTAAAAGCAGTATGTGGTGTATATTTTCAGCTTCTACATGCAATAACTTTTCGGACATACTTTTAGCATCAGGCTCTTGTCTTTGCCTGAAACAGCTGGAGAATCTGCCAGGGAGCTGCATCCTGATTTAAAATTTTGATCTGCCTGGTAATTGAGGATTAGCACCCTCCTTGGTAAAGAGGACCTGCCAACTTATCTTCCTTGAAACATACTGGGGCCCTTGTTAGATGTCAATGTCAGGGCAAGGAAGATGGTGTAAATGCTGATAGAAATCGTTAGGTTTTAATTCTTGCCAACTGCAATGCAAAATTTAATTTGCCTAGTTGCAGTCAAATTTGGCATATGTAAATATTCTGTTGCGTTCCGTTGAGCCCCAAGAAGTCTATCATAGTAGCAATAGCAGTGAATGTGGTAGCAAATGAATGAATTTAATCTACTCTAACATTTAAAAAAATACATATTTCAGTTCATCTCTCCAAGTGGAAATTTTAAGTTTCCAGTTTAGTATCTTCAACAGCTGTAACAGCAAAACTGGAAAAGCCATACTCTGGAAATATTCCTGAAAATTTCCTGTAGACAAAAATTATTCTGGAGTAATCAATACAATGATACAGAAATAGGAATTTGGGACTTTTAACACACCTGAGGATACTATTGGTGCAAGTTTTCTTCTTCTATGAATCATAATTCTTTAGAAAAACTTTTTGCTGGCTTCATTGGTAGATGCTTCTGGAAAGATAAAACTGTTATAGCTCTTGATTATCCTTTAGTGCACTTTTTTAACCACATAAAAATTACTGGTGTTACTTCGCGTTCTCATGATCATTCAGCATTTGTCACTCAGCCTTGGATAAAACCAATCATTTGTATTCAATGAAGAATAATTATAAATGATGAAAAAGATATTACTAATGATTAGAAATATAAGTATCATGTTTTCTAATCATTACTAATGATTAGTAATGATTAATATAAGTAATACAAGCATTTTTAGAAGTAGTTTTATGATTAGCGCAATTCTAATGATCATTTAAAAGTTTAGTTTTTAAGCATTGGATCATTAGAAACAATTAATCAGCATAGTGCCATACTGATTAATTCTGTGAACTAACACCTGAAATTTCAATACAGCATTCTCGGTTTTGATTAAGAATTCACAGGAACATGTAGTAAAGTTCTGTCAGTGCTTGTTGTATACTAAATATCATTTTATGGGGCACAATGTACAATTCTACTAGCTTTTTAAGAATTCTTTCTGAATTCCTTAATGCAAAACCTCTGCAAAAGTCAACAAATATACATGCCTGTATTCAGAAAGTTAGACGTATTAATGCTTGAGCCATGCTTCTTCTTTAATAATTTGTCCTTGCATTGCTTTTTGCAGCTTCTGTCAATGACCCAAGATGAATACAAGCCATCGGATGTTAGTATACTACTAGTCTTTGTAATTCTTTCAAATGTGTATAAATACAAATTACACTGATATATACAGTATAAGTTTAGCTGATATTTTGAAAAGCATTTTGCTTAGTCTACCTTATCTTTTATAAATAACTATCTCAAATATAATTATCTTTTGCTTCCTTAATAATTACACTGAGAACACACTTATTACCTGCAAACTTGATCATCTGAAATTACACTACTGTAGCAGTACCAACTGGCAATCATTGCTATTTCATTGGGTTTAAATAAGATACCAAACCTGCTTCCTAATGCAAGCCATCTTAAACCTTAATTTAGCTTCTTTGCTCTATTTTTTCTTTCATTCTTGTTGAAATGTTGAAGCCTTTAAATGCTGAAGTCTTTGTGACTGACAACAGTCTAATTCAGAGTTTAATTTACAAATTGCAGAAAAGGCAGATCTCTCTTTGGATGGACACTAACTCATCCATCTATCCTGATGGCTGGGAATCCTAGCAAAGCCTGGAAGTATAAAATCTCCCTTCATCCAGCTTGCACAGAGGAATGGAGATGTGGACAAATTTTGGGAACAGCTGTTACCAAATCTAAATGTGCTCTGCAACCTCTGATTGGTATAACTGAACATAACCCAGTGGCTGTTCTCCCGAAATAGAGTTTGAATCAAGGCACAGTTCTTCTGGGCAAAATATACTCCTATGTCACAACCTTAACAGAAGTCGGTTTTCAACATGTATTGCCAGCAGCAGCCCATCACGTGTGGATTTCTGCCAATATGGGAGATATTTATGATGGTTGCTGCTGGAGCTCTAATACAAACAAGTACAAGGGCTAAATTTCAATTCACAAAAAGAAGAAATGCAAGGATGCTAAATTAGTACTAATAAGTGGCATAAATGCTGAACAATCAATAACAATAATTACTACAACTGGTTTTACTAACTGTCGCAATTGTAGGTGTCTCTGGTAATAATTTTAAAATGGAAGGTCAGTTATAACCATAATTTTTGTAGCTACTGGAGTTTAATTAGATGTGATCTTTTAAGGTCAGAAAATCTCCATATATTAGATAGTCTTGAGAGGAAGGATGAATTTGAGATTACAGTCTTGAACATTAGCCAGCCTGTTTAGGCAGGAGACTGGAGACTTTCCCCATGTGACTGTAAACTGGCAGTTTAACCTGGGAAAGTCAGGATGTCAAAGTTGGAACTTTCTGGGCTATTTGTGCAGAGCTATGTAGTTGCCCTTAGCCTTCTTCACTTGTGGATGTGTAAACTTACTCAATCCACCTTTAAACTGTTTTTTCTTTCCATTTCATGCAAAGAAATGCACTTGCCAAGAGTATGCAATCAGTTACCGTGTCTGTGCTGACCACAGAGGCTTTTGCTTGTGTGTCCACACTTTTATCATTTTTCAGATTGGCTGTCTGTAAATTGAAAAGCTGCCTAATGCAATGTGATGTTATAGGAATTTGGGAAAAAAAATAACCTTTTAAGGGAGATAAGTGCAGAAGTTCAAAGAAGCAGCAGCATTTCACAGTTTGTTAAAGAACTTCACTGAAATCAATTTGCTATTTTTATTGATATTGCATAAAAAGCTCTGCCAAATAATTTTTGAAGCAGTTACGTGCTACTTTTGCATGCAACATGACTGTAAAATATCCATTTCTTTGGAAGGAGCCAAAGGCAGTTGCTTGTTAAGCTCCTTTAAGGTTAGAAAACCAACACTAGCAAAGCAGAGAAATGGGGGTTTCCTTCTCATAAGAGCTGCTCTAAATGCGGTGCCTCTCTCCGATGTTCTGGCAGGTTTTGCTGGTAACAGTGAATGGGAACCCTGTTGATTATCACACCATCCACCCCACACTTCCATTAGAAAATGGTCCAGCCAAAGCAGACATGTACTCAACACCACAGTACAAATGGGAGCCTTCGGATGACATGTCAGGTAGTGAAAAGAATTGCCTGGGAATTGTCCTTACTTCTATATTTCATTATTATTCTTTCTCTCAACTCACTGCCTTCCACATTTGTATCATTTTGTTGGCTCTTTGGCCTGCTGAAATT